GACACATGGCGACCCTTACCTGCCAAGCCATCGGCCAGGCTACAGCTGTTCTCGGCACACGAGGGGAGGTATCAGGACGTCTGAGGGACATGTGATGACTGTGTGGTAATAAAGATCTGTAAATCTTCATATTCGTCTCCCTGAGGTTCTTCTTCTCTCTTCTTTCGACACTAACACTTTGCTTTCACACCGACTGAAGTTTACGCCTATCCAACAAATACTTATGATTGGCTGCAAACATAATTTGGGTTAATCCCCTTTGAATATTATATTGCATTCTCATCTCAAAATTATGTAAAAGAAAACTGAGGCAGAGCATGTGGTTAAGAAACATGCCCAAGGCCATAGACTTTAAAAATGCCAGAGACGGTGGACTGTGCCTGGCTCATCACAGGCTGTGGGCTGACCCACAGGCTTCTTTGCACTGTAAAGGCACAGTGGGGAGAGACCAGCGCTCAGCCGACAGCCCCCAGAAGAGTCATTTGCTAAGACTTGAAGTTATGAAGCCAACAGGAATCTATGGAGGAAACATCAAGATGTTGACAACTGGCTGTTTCTGGTTGGCCCCTTCAAAACACATAACACGGACAAACACATAAAAAGTCGACAAATGGGACTATAAAAAAGTAATTTTTAAAAACCCTCATTCACAAAAAAGAAAATAATCACCTGTGCGAAAAGACAACACAATGAGAGAGAATCTATCCATGGTGACTGCCCAGAGGAGGGCAGAACCCAGTGGACTCTCAACACAGCCCAGAAACTGAAAGAGGCATCTAACCCTAACTTGGTGCCAGGGAGAATCTTGAATCCTTTCCAGGAGGCAGGTAATTTCTAGATCTTCTCCAGTTCCCTCTCAGCAATACTCCAAGTGTACTGAAACAAAGCTGGGCTTAGAATCCCACCTACAGCTGCCACAGGGAGAACATGCTGCAGCTTGCTGCACAAGCCTGCACCTGGGTGCCACCTAGTGCTAGAGTGACAGCATGCTCAGAGGAAAGCCAGGCTCCCTCAGTGCAAGGCACACCAGCTTGCACCAACAGCTTTCAGGGAACCCTGAGCTTATCATTACCCAAAGGGCCAGAAACTGACCAGGTAGTCACCTGCCAGGGAGGCCTCAGTGAGAAGCTGAAATCACTGTTTATAAAGGAAATTTGATGAGCTTAAGGGAAACACGGAAAGGTTTCAATATCCAATCAGAGAAAGCAATGAATAAGTTCTCAAGGTGAAAAATATTCATAGTGAAATTGAAAAGGTCATGGAAAGCATTAAGAGCAGGTGGGTTAATGAGAATCAGTGAGCTTGGAGCTGGCATACTTGAAATGCACTGCTGGAGAAAACAGGAGGAAGGAGAGAGCGGGAAAATCAGGAACTGCTGAAACAGAACTATGCTTCTGGGGTGTAAGAAGGGCCTGTGAATGCCAGAGAGGAAGAACGCTTATTAACGGAAATAAAACAGGACAGTTCCTGACCCTGGAGCACAGAAAAACCCTGGTACAGGAAACGCAAAAGTTGACAATCAAATTATGGTCAAGACATCTACCCAAAGCGTATAATCAAGTAAGCTCTTACTGGGGAAAAGAAGATTCCAGAGGCTGCAACACCAAGAAAGAAATGCAGGGACCCAGTTCACCTAACGGTACCCTTCTTGGCCGAGACTTAGGGGCTGGGAGTGCTGTGAGATTTTCATGGTAATGAAAAAAAAAAACCTGTCATCATTAAAGACTGTCCCAACCACGCTATTCTGTAAACTGAACAAATAATGACATTCCCAGATGAAAGCCAAGAGAGTGTGTGTGACTTGACCCGTTCTAGAACTAACGCTAAAGAAAGTTCTTCAAACTGAAGCAGGCATCAAGCATTGTAAGAAAGCACAGGGCAGCTGTATTCCCAGCATTTATGGGGTGGAAGCAGCAGAGTCAGGAGTTCAAGGTTATACGTAGCACGTTCAATGCTAGCCTGGTCTATAAGATATCCCATCAAATAATATTTACTGTTGATTTATCTTTTATTTAAGCTGCAGTTATTCCTAATCCAGCTGTATATGCAAATCACCACACAGAGACTAGGATTTATTAACCTAGAGCACAATGCTGGCAATAGTTACTCCATCCTAAACCTCTAAGCCAGCATAGCTTCCTATCGTTCAGATTTCACCCATTATACTTGCTTTTAGTCATATCTTAGATCTGGTTCATCTTTCCTCCTGGTTCCAAGACCCTCTCCTCATGGTTCCAAGCTCTGTCCTGCCCACCTCTGCCCCTCATCTTTTACTTGCTTCCTTCTCCTCCCTTCCCCTCTGGACCAGGATGCCCCACACTATTCTCTCCATTGCTCAGCATTGGGGCTGGTTGTTTTATTGAAAATACAGAGAACAAATGGTGGCATGTTTACACAAACTTGAGACAGGTGATGTTTAGAATAAGCATCACAATGCAGTGTCCGGACTGAAACCAGATAGTGGGGTAGAGCAAACAGCATTTGAATGAACAAGGGTACATTCCACAAGAATATTATACCAATAGAGGAGAGAAAAGCAGAGTGATAAAAGAGGGAAAGGAAGGGAAAGAAAGAACAAAAGAAGGAAAACACAAGACTGTAAGAAAGGGCAAGTGAATTATGCAAACACACTCAGGACACTATGGTATTGTAAGCCTGATGAAGAGAGCATCAACAAAATAGGAAAGAGATGTCATGAAAATACCTTTGAGCATTTTCCCTGAATACAGGTTGTTTTTAACTAGCTCACCCTACTCTAAATATGTCTTCAATAACTGATACATGATGGAATGGATTTTCTCAACAGCAGTTTTCCAGATGTAACAGCATCGTGATATGGAAATTAACCTATAAGGTCAGGCAGGCTGCACTGGCAATGTGGCTCAGTGACACAGCTTAACTTGTATCAGGCCCCAATTCTGATCCTGGGCACCCCTAAACAAAACAGCAAAGCAAAGAAAAGCAGGAAAGGAAACAGAGAAACAAAGAGAACTGATTGATTGCTTAACTTTTCACACTGTGGGAAAAACTAACTCTTCTGCTCATGTTAGCTTTGCAAATTGTGGTTATTTTAAAATAGTAGGGCCAAATTAGTTTTGCTGCATTGTGAAACCCTAGTCTCAGGGGATGGTTATTACCCGGGGAAACTCACTCTGGAGACTATGGATCAGGTGTAACCACATGAACAACAGCCCAGCCTCTGCCCAAGTAAGAGCCTGTACACTCTAGTCTTGGGGACAGGTCAGGGAAGAGCTAAGAGTAAAGCTAAGCTAAGGTTTATTTTAGACATTTATTAACACATTATTTTGCCCATTTTACAGATGAGGGGATGGAGATAAGAAATGCAATATACTCAAAGTCACATGCTATTAACATGTCAGACTGAATTTTCAACCTAGGAAATCCTTTCTTGAGGCTGTGTATAGCCCATTCAACCATGTTCATTAAGTGAGTCAAGTGGGAACTTAAATTTAATTGGAGTAATCTTGAAAGTCTGGAAATTAAATGCCAACAGAGGGCACGCATCCGACCTTGGCTTGAGGGGTAAGAGATCCCCCTTTTAGTGAAGAGTGTTCACTGTGATTGATGTACAGTTTAATACTCACTGTTGTCAGGTTTTCCCAGCCTGTTCCTCTTTGACAGCTGCTACCTACTCCTTACCTTTCTCTTAAAACTAAAATTCCATATCCACTAGGCAAGTAAACAATGTTATTACTTTGCAACACTACTGTTTGGATTAAATAGAAAGGAGCTGTTAGCCCAGCATGAGCCTAATTTCCAGAAGGGATGAAGAGAACTCAGGAGTCCGGGTCTCATCAATGCAAAATTGCAAGAGGTTTATTTTAACCATTGCGCAATGGGGTCACCCCTGCAGGTCAGCAAAGAGTGGCACTGGGAGACAAAGGCCTTGGGTTTTTAAAGGACAAGGTGCGGGAATTTTGAGGGGTTGCAGTCTTGGCAATTCAGGATTGGATGAGGAAGCTATAAAGTAAGATAATTGGTTAGCCTTAGATGCTCAAGCTTGGCCAGTCCTGCCAAGTGTGGATGCGGCTGCAATTAAAGGTGGGGGTGGGGGCAATTAGCTCCTCCATGAAGATCGGGGCTGCAGGCTTTTGGCTGGAGGTCAGGTGCTACTCAGAAGAAGGACTGAGGCCATCTGGGTTGGTTGCTAAGAAACACTATCTCGAAGACAAGGGTCTGGTCATTCTTTTTGCTGAGTGAAGGTCATTGCTTGCTCGCTTTTTTATATCTGTCCTCATAGATGGCCAGGGTTACATTCCTCCGTTCTCTGGAAAGGTACTAAGAGGCTTTAACCTGGGCCTAAAACTCAAAACTATAGGCTTTAGAAGACATATAGGTTACAAAGTTAGCCTGATCCTTTCAGAGCGTTTAAAACGGTGCTTTCTGTGTAAACAGTCGTAAACGCGTTAGTTAGAACTGTTCTTGCTTTTGAGTGATCCTGATTTTTAAGTGACAACCCACGACTGTAGCAAGTGGGTGAAGAGATCTGAAATGAGCTTCCTCTACAGCCCTTCGAGGCACCCTCTTTTCCAAACTCTATACGTCGTCCTGAGCTGTGAGGGCACAGGAGACGAGGTGGCGCTGGTGACAGGCCACGAGCAGCGCTGTCTTGCTCTTCTGTGGGGCTTAGGTATGGGAAAACTTCAACCGTGCTGACCGCACAGCTGAAACCCTTCCCGGAGTCTGACACGGCACATCCAGGTGTTCCTGACGGAGGCCACTCAACCAACTGAGCCACGAAGCGCCGCCCAGGCCTTACGATGCCTAGCGGCCACTTCCGGTCCGAAGAACCGAACGCCGTCCCGGTCCGCCGTCCCTCGCCGTCTGCCGGTAACTGGTCCCTTCCTGGAAAGGCACAGACAGGCCTCGTGGGCTCGCTCCGTTTCCGCGTAGCCACGCCCCTTCCAGGTTCACCGCGCCGCCTGATGACGTCACACAAGTCACCACGGGAACTATCGCGAGGTCTCCCCTCGGGGCCCGCTCAGCGGTGAGAATGGTTTCTGTTCTCGCGGTATTTTCGCGTTCGCGGGGCTCGGGCGACCCGGGCTTCTGTGAAACATGGCGCTCGGCTGGGACCGTAGCACTGGGTAAGATGCTGAAGCCCCGCTGGGGCCGTTCCCTCCGGGCGCGCCGGGCAAGCGGGGACGCGGGCGCCATGGAGGGCGCCCCAGCCCGGCGCTGGCCCGCGCGCTCGCCCCCGTGGCCCCGAGGAGGGCCGCTGGCCGCCGAGCCGCTCCGCTGCCCGGGGGCGTTCCTGCCGACGGGGCCGGGGCTTCGCCGGGACGCTCCTCTCGGGCCGGCCGTCGTGGACAGCGGCGGCCCCGCCGGCCCCGAGCTCACCCTCTCCGAGACGGGTGCTGTGTGCGTGCGTGCGTGCGTGTCCCATTCCGAGACAAGTGGTGCGTGTGTGCGAGCGTGTGTCCTGTTCGTCAACTGTTGACCCCTCGGGGGGCGATAGCTCAGCTCCCGACACAGGCCAGCCCTGGGAATCGTTGACTAGATTTGGCAGGTCCGTGAGCAAACGTGCATTAACTTTGCGTGTGGGATCCATGCCCTCCAGATCGTAGGCAGGTAACAGCTGTGTCGCTGTTGCGAGGTAGGCAGCAGCTGAAGGCAGATAAAACAGCCTTTCCTCGCCTCTGTGGAGCTGAGATTGCCAATGGCAGTCCTTCAGCCCGACTGAACTCCAGCGCCCACGCCTAAGGAGACGAGTGTGCAGGTTCGCGCAGGGGTCGTGAGCCTGCCTTGTGTATTACTCCCTAAGTTACTCCGGTGCCAGCCTGTCGGGGAGCGTCCTGAGAAGTAGAACGCCCTTGTAGTGAGCTTGGGAGCAGGCACTCTGTGAGATACTCAGCCTCACTACGTTAAGGTATTGTTACACGTTAACACCCGTCACGGCGGACATTGCACAAATACGGCAAGTTCAAAGGCCCTGGAAGGAAGTCACCGTAGTCTAGAACAACACTCACGCAGCGATCTGCCTGCCTCCACCTCCCCAGTGCCGGATTCCAGGCGTGCGCCACCGCACCCAGTAATTTTCTTACCATTTAATTCTGTGTTTTAATGACATCGAGAGCTTATCGTTTGACTTCCGCGTCCTGGTTTCCTCGTCAGTAAACGAGAATAATGCGGTAATGGTTAGCTCCTAGAACGTTGGGAAGAGAACATGTTTCAGACAATGAAAGGCTTCAGAACTCCTGCCGCTGTTTTCTTATTTATCAGGTTCTGACTTGTGCAGTTTCATGTGGCCTGAGCCTGAGTCCTTAAAAAAGCAGTGTAGAGCCTTTATAACCCTTAAAACTGATTACATTTTTGATGGATATGTTTAGCAGGAACTCTTATACACTATATACTCGTCCTCCTCAGTTTGGAAAACTATTGCTCTTAATTAGTACTGGGGGCATTTCCCCCCCTGCTTCTCCACTTACAAGTCTTATTTTTATCAGTATGCCCCTGACTTGTTACCTAGTCATCTTGCTCCTGGAGAACATTTATATTGCAAATGTATCTCGTGTGTGGTTGACCTGTTTCCTCTCTTTTGTATCTGGTTATTTTAATCTCGCACACGTTGATTGAGTAGCTACTGCTGGTCTTACACTGTGTTGCTGGGGAGCAGCGCCGACCCATGTTGGAATGATGCCAGTTGGTAGTTTCTTTCTTTGTGGTGTTCGTTTTCCACATCTTCAGTTTGTGGAATGACCTGCTCAGGTACTCAGTGGAGGGCTTCCTTGCTTTCCTGGCTCTGCACAGCGTGTAAACACGTCACTACACTGTCTTTGCATAGTGGTCTCCTGTCTATTGGCGCCTTCACCTGCTCTTGAAAGGACACCAGTCCTTAACTTTGCTTTCCCCCAATCCACTGTGATTTCAACTAAGTCCATTTTCAAAGGCCCAAGTTTCTTCATAAGGTTCATTCGTAAGTGCCATGGCCCGGGGCTTCAGCATATCTCTTTGGAGACATAGCTCACCCCACAGTGTAGTGCTACACGACTCATTCACTATCTCCATTGAGAAATGTGCATTGTAAGCAGCAGGTGGTGGTAGAAGGTGAAATCTTGCATGAGTGAGGTACAGGTGCTTGCCACAAGCCTGATGACTTGCGCATCATCCCCAGGACTTACACGGTAGGAAAAGATCTGGTCTCTGTAGGTTGTTCTCTACTGTCTGCGTGTGTGCCAAGGCGCTGGTGCTCCCCTTCCCAGTAAATGTAATTACATATGTCTCATTTAAACATAAATTCTTGACTTTTTGTTTAATCAAACTTCATTGAGCAAGTTTTCTCAGTTCTGTATCTTATTCTCATTATTTCAGGAGCGTTGGTATCTCAGCATGAAGAGGTTTCTTATTTGTTAAGGAGTTGTTTAAGTATTGTCTTAGCTGTTATATCCTTGAGGTTTTGTTTTTGTTGCTTTTAAAATACACGGACAAGCTGGGCATGGTGGCACACGCCTGTGATCCCAGTACTTGGGGAGGCAGAAGAAGGCAGATCATTGTGAATTCGAGGCCAGACTGGTCTACAGAGTAAGTACAGGACAGCCAAGGCTACACAGAGAAACTCATCTCTCCAAACCAAAAACAGGACAGTTTATGGGAGACAGCAAAGCAATCAGGTGTGGTATTAGAGATCAGTGTTTTTTAAGTGTTCATTTACCCAAATATGACACTCTTCGGATTTGCAATCTGTGCTGCTATGCGTGTTTTCCTTTCTTCCCTTAGTGTGTGTCAGACATTGGCCCTGCAAGGCTGAGGCAGATGGGTGTCCTTTCTTATTGTCCAATGGCGGAGACAGACATGCTGCCCCTTGCAAGAAACAGTTCTGGGCATGGAAGGGTATACAGAAGACTATATACAGGAGTCGGTCATGTGGAAACAGAACTAACTCTGGCAAGAGAGAAGAAGGAACACTGAAAGGTTTTCAGTGTTGCTGAACTTAGACTGCAAGACACTTGATTGGATGGACGTGGTTTGTGAGGCATTGTGTAAGCCATGGTAGGGTGGTCTACGTTCTGAGTGCCAGTGGGAAGGGACGCAGGGGTGAGAGAGCATGCATAGGCTGATGCTCTTACCAGGCGATTCTTAGAGTTAAGGGAGTGGATTGAAGCCATGCAGAGGCACTGAGACTCGGGTCCTAGGAAGGGGCGGGTCTGCGTTGGGAAGAGAGCAACTAGAGAAACTTAGAACAGGTGAAGTCTGAAGCGCACTGTGTGCAGCTTGTGCAGTTCTTGGTGCCGCTAATCACTCAGATGGGAAAGAAGAGATGGATAACTGTGCGGAGTATCTCAGTGGTTGACTTCTTGGAAAGGAAAATCTATATGGTAGCAGGCAAGGAGACAGTTCTGAGGGATATCAGAGCTGGACTGAAGATTAGGAGGAACCCACATGGAGATGGAAAAATAAGCATCAAGTCCACTTGCATAGCCCTGGGTTTTGGAGCAGTTTGGCCTTTCATCTTTAGGTTTTGAGGTTGGGGTGCTTGTTGCGACTGTTTCATGAGGAACAGGATCACTCGGAGTGCGGGCTGAGAGTATGACTATAGATACCTTCTAGACAGGCTGCGGTGTGAGGCTTCTCTCTTGGATGTTGTTTCACGGTACAACATCCAATGTGACTGAAGGGTGTGATGTGATCTAGAGGTGGGTAAATGTGTGAGAAGACGTGATGGAACCATTTGCAAGTGTGCCGTTTTAGGAAACCGTGTGAGCTCAGGGTATTTTCTTACTGTCTGTGGAGTCGGCCCCCCATGGACCCTGAGACACACCTGCATTGCTAATACTGTAATAAGTGTCTGAGAACGTAGCCACAGCTTGTCATGACCTTTTTCCACATGTATATAGAAATTATATAAGAAATATATATAATAGTTTGTCAACTTTATAAGAAATAAACTTAACTTTTTAAATATTAAAAATGTGCGTTTCCTACTTTTGGTTGCTTTCATGTGTGTTTGCATATTGCCTTTCATTAGTAATTTTGAGTGGGAATGGAGAAAAGAGTCAAATGGGCACTATGGTGTGTGTATACTTTTTTGTCGAGGAGAGTTGTCAGTGCAAATTTCTGAGGAAACTGGGCCTATATTTGTTTGTTTTTCAGCATGACTATATGAAGGAAGAGGAAGGTTTTTCTGAAGATGAGGCGACTGAATCGGAAAAAAACCTTAAATTTGGTGAAAGAGTTAGATGCCTTTCCCAAGGTTCCTGACAGCTATGTGGAGACATCAGCCAGTGGGGGAACAGGTGAGCTCAGTTCAGAGTGACTGACGCTCACCAGCATGTGGGCGCTGGCCACGAGGAGGGGCTCACTGCTGGATGGCACGCGCTCTCCAGCTGTCGTCAGCGTGCTCCGCACAGCTGGAGTGCGGACTGAGGTGCTCCTGAGGAGCAGTGCGGCTGACACTTGGGTGTGCGGGCTGGGTATGTGCCACATGATTCTTAGCCTAAGTGACTCTGGAGCTGGGGGGGTTAGGGAGGGCTGCCGACAGCCCTGCCCCTGGGCTGTGCTGAGTGGCTGTAAGTCTTAGCATAAGTGACTCTGCAGCTGGAGGGTGAGGGAGGGCTGCCGACAGCCCTGCCCCTGGGCTGTGCTGAGTGGCTGTAAGTCTGCGGAAGAAGGTCTTGTCTCTCAGGCCTCAGCAGGGAGGGAGAGCGAGTTGTGTTTGCACTAATTCTGTCTTCCCTCAGATGAGCCAGTAACATTTATATTGCTGTGTTAATGTATCAATATTAATTACACACGCTTTTATGTGTAAAATGCTTAGAATAATACTTGGTACAAATAAGAGTGTCTGTTAAATAAGCGGTGGACTAGCTAAGAAAAAACCTGCCCCTAATGCTTCGTCCTTTGATTTCCCCATGGAGCAGTAATAAGGTAATGTTTCATATGCTGTTTCATGGGGTAAAACGTGTGATGAGGGCTGCATACAGCTCAGTTGGTGCCTGCCTGGTGTGTGTGCAGCCTGGGTGGAACCCCAGCACCACAGAAGCTGAGCCTGACTGTGACTGAAGCTAGCTACTCGTGACTGAGGCTAGAACTAGGGAGGTGGAGGCTGCAGGATCTCAATGTCAAGGTCATCGATTGCATAGCCAGTTATACAGGAGCCTGAACTACTTGAGACTGACTCAAATAACAAATAAACAAACAAAAACAAAATAAAGTACAATAAAATGACTTGCTAATTCTGATTCCCACGATTGACGCTTGTTAGTTAAAAGAATGCCAGCTCTGGTTGCAGAGGCTGCGTTGTATCTCGTACTATTTATTTAGTGAGTGAGTGTTTGCTTTTGTTTCTCTGTGTGTAGCCCTGGGACCATCTGCCTCTGCCTCCCGAGCGCTGGGTTACAGGAGTGTGCTACCACTGCCCGGCTGTTTAGTGAGTTCTTTGTGACCAGGTTTTTACTTCAATTTTGCTAGGTAGTAATAATATATTAGGATGCTACAAAGTAGCTGAAAGAAAGTATTTCGGGGGTGAGCTTGCTGCAGTTGCACTGTAAGCGCACAGTAGCCTTTCTAAGGAGGGAAGTACTTTCAGGTGGGGCCATCTGTGCTCGGCCTTGTTACCTGTGACTGCCACCCTGTCTAGGGAGAGGCATTGCTGAAACTGTGGACCAGCAAGTCTTTCTCAGTGTACGGATGTTGTGTTCCCGTTGTACTCCTTACGTCTGCAGTTTTGAGCTGTGTAAAATGTTTAACATTTTTAGATAAATCATTTGTACTGTTTATTCAAATGACACTCATGTTGGACTTTGTATTTTAATCCTGCTTAAGATAGCTGCTTACTTTTTTATTGTTTTAATTGTGTCTTTTTTTCCCCTTTGTTGGATTTCTCAGTTTCTTTAATAGCATTTATCACGATGGCTTTATTGACAATAATGGAATTCTCAGTGTATCGCGATACATGGATGAAGTATGAATATGAAGTAGACAAGGATTTTTCTAGGTAACTAAGTTTTCCTTTTTAATACCTTTAGATTTACAGTTTGTTAAAATAACATCTTTTTAAAAATGTCCTTTATTTTGTTTTTGCTTTATCTTAGTTTTGAAGAAATAGTACTAGAAATTCTCATTAGTTGCTTGTGTAAGATGAAGCATTTTAGAATCATTTAAATACTGGGTAAATCCTACTAAAACAGATTCAATATGCATTTGTTTAAAAAAGAAAAGAAAAATACCAAAAAACCTAAAAGCATGTTTTTTCTTAGCTGGGGATGTGGCAGCAGTTATGTCTCTGCTAAGCTAAATTTTGATATAAATTACTTTAAACCTTGAAGACCTAGGAGACAGAAGTAGCCTGACAGTCACTCATTGGTTCATGTTTCTGATGGGTTCACTCTTCTTCACATCCCAGCTCTGCTAATGACCACAACACATACATGATTTGGGCATGCCAGTAAGTTGGTGTTGTCTGTGCTTTGACTTTCTAGTCTGTAAAACAAATAGTAAATATAGGATTCTTCTCCTGGGTTTGATGACCGAAATACCTCACAGGTTGTGCATTACACATAACTTGGTGGACGTACAGTGAACTCTCGTTGGGCCTTGGCCGTTCACCTGTGGCATCATCCATCATCTGCTGTTCAGGGTGCTGGTTACTTCTCAGGGGTCTTACTGCTGCTTCTACTTGCTTTGTGTTTACTGTCATTGAAACAATTAGCGTTGTGTTTGGTCTCCTTGGCTTCTTGACCTTGGCATGTACTGACATGGAGTGGTTTGAGTTCCTGACAGTGCTGCTCTGAAAATTTTTAGTTCCTACTGAAATCAGTTGAAAATAATCACTAGAAGAAAAGTTTCGATACGCAGCACGACTGAATATGTTTATGTTGTTCTGTTAAAGTGTGTATTAGGGCTTCTCTGTTGTGGTAATAAAGTACCTTGGCCAAAGATAGCATATAGAAGAGTTTACTTTAGCTTTATGGTTCCCAGGAGTAGAGTCCATAATATTAGAGAAGGCGAGATGTGCCCTCAGGAGCTGGCTGGGCACAGTTCCATCCACATGCAGAAAACAAAGGGAAGTCTCAGCAGTCTGATGGTTTAATGCCATGCAGCAGTTCTTGAAGGAAGTGGGTCTAGGCTACACAAAGCCCTCAAGGCCCTCTCCAGTTCCGTGCTTCTTCCGACAGGACTTTGAGGTTCAGTAACCTCCCCAAGCAGTACACAGGCCTATTGGGGACATTTTTCATTCAAACCACGTGATGGATGATTAATTCTGATGTTTGAAAGTTAATTTTATGTGAACCAGTCTTTGAAAATGAAGTGTTGGTTGGATCTTGTTTAAAGGCCACGGAAAGTGAGCTTTGGTGTGTCCATCTGTAATCTCACCTCAGGAGCAGAAGCAGGTGAATCTGGGGTTCCAGCTAGCCAGAGCTGTACAGTGAGAGCCTGTCTCAGAGCGAAAGGACATAAAACCTGTAGTCACATGCTTTCCTGCTAGTTTGCTCTCCTGTGCCCTGAAGTCCTGACACAGGCTGGTCTCCAAGGCTGGGTTGATTTCTGTGGGCTGAATCTCTGCCAGCCAGGTGCGCCCCTTTGAGCACTAACCCTGAACAATCGGTGCATTGACTGTGAAAGTCCAGTCCCTGGTAAGGAGAGCGCGCTGACGGGCACCCAGCGGGTGTGCATGTATGGTGATGATAAATGGAGGGACCCGAATTCCTGCTTTCTGATTTACGTTTCCTGTTGTTAAGGGACTGCTGTAGCTGTGTTTACATGGCCAGAGACGGAGATTTCCCTTGGGTTCTCGTCACTAGTGACCAAGGTGACACGATGGGTTTCAGCTAGTCACTAAGTAGAGCTTAGGGGGCCAGAGGGACGGCTCAGCGGTTAAGAGTTCTTGTTCTTGCAGTTCTCACGTCAAGCGGCTTACATAAAATCGAATGTTTTAAAATGCTCTGATTCTGATTTCAAGGAATGCAAGTTAGGTCATAACTTGTGTTCTGCTGTCAGAAATCCACATTTTCTGTAGGTGAGTTGATTTGCATTTCTGCTCTGTGCTGTTGACAGGTACTGACGTCCTGCTTTTCTCTTACAGCAAGTTGAGAATCAACATAGACATCACTGTCGCCATGAAGTGTCATTGTGAGTATACCCTCACCACTGCCAGTATGTCTGCCCCTTGACCTCTGCATGTGACCTTAGTGTAAAAAGAATCCGAGCAAGGTTCTTGCAGTCCGAGTTGTGATTGAGGTGGCCGCTCTGTCCCGTGTGGAGTGGCAGGTTTTCTGCCCACACTTGGCGTGGTTTACAGGTTCAGTGGATTTGCCTTACACTTTCTTTGAATCCTTAAGATACTTCTTGTGATTAATAGTGAATTCAGCACCTTTAGTACTTCAAGGCTGTTTACTTTTGGAAAGCTGGTCAGTCAGTTAACCTGATGCGTTCTTACTATGTGTCATCTATTTTTCAGAACAAAAGATAGAAAAAAATCCTTTTTAAATTTTGGAATGCTATCTACAAAAGCTTCATAGTGCTACTGTTTTAACTTTTGAACAAATGAAAGTCACATCACATATTTTGAGTTTCTATTCATCATCTCTGTTTTACAGCAGATGATATTTTGATCTGAGTGCTGAGTGTAAAACTTTGCTTTAATGCAGATGTTGGAGCAGATGTACTGGATTTAGCAGAGACCATGGTTGCGTCTGCAGATGGTCTGGCTTATGAACCAGTAAGTTTGATTTATATGGTTTTTAAATGTTTGCTGAAAAGACTTTAGACATTTGCTCTTAGTTTTGTTTGATTTTTTTTTTTATTTTTTTTTTTTAATTTCAAAAATAATCCAAACTCTCTGTAAAAACTTGTGATGGAGAAAGGTTATACCTAATATCAAAAATTTGAGATAACCACAGATGGTGTTTTGGATCTTCTGTCCTATTTCAGGTTTCTGCTTCCCATCAGGTTCCCTTTCTCTTTTTGTTACAAGAATATAGGATTGTACTTTGCTTATCTGGGGACTTTATGACCTATGCTACCTTCACCATGCCTAACTCTTTAAAAACATCTGAGCTGTGGCTTTCTTATCACAGCCTGAGGGAATCTCATTGGCCTTTACCTCTTCCAGTGTTGATACTCTGTTAGTAGTTTCAGAGCACAAGCTGTCATAAAGTAGCTGACTCACCACATAGCCGTTACAGGACATGTGCACTCGCGATGGGACTGGATCAGAACTAGCCCGAAGACAGCATCAGGAGAAGCGTGCAACCCATGGCACCATGGCGTGTAGTTTTCCTTTCCATGTTTAAATTGATTTCCGTATCATTAAGCAGACTTGCAGAATGATGAGCAAAGATGGAGGAAGAGTAGAATTCATTGGCTGGGCTGAAGTGAGAAAGTCCCTGGACTAGTTCTGATTGCTGAATGAACTCTAGTTTACAGCACGAGATACATGCGTGTTTTCGCTATGCACCGTTTTCGTTACTTTTAAGTCACTGTGAGAAGCCCTGTGAGAGACAGCCTGAGGGAGAAACTATCTGTTCCGGCTCTCACAGAACAAGGTTTCCTTGGCCTCTTGTGCTTGGACGGAGCATCATGGATACTGGAATGTGAGGCGTAAAAACATTCATCCCATGGTGACAGAGACACCTAAAGTCCACACCCTCAAGTCCCTAGCCCAGTGACTTACTTCTTTAGCTTCCTTCACGCTTCCACAGTTTTCCATCAGCCGGGGTCCTGGGTTTTAACTTAGGAACCTGAGGGGGACAGTTCAGATTCAGACCACAAAGCACTCGTAAAGTAGAATGTTGATAGACAAATACTTTATGGTTGCTACACTCCTCCCATCTTCTGATCTCTTGTTTTCCATTCGCAGTGTTTATTTTATAGTAACTTATGTGGATAAAGCTAACCATAAATTCAGAGGCTGTTCCATATGTTAGAGTATGACTTGCAGATTTAGATTCAGTGCTCACCAGTAGACACTGAGGCCTTCGCACTTTACACTGTTTGCAGAATATTTAGTTCTAGTGCTTTCCTGTAGCCTTTGTGTGTGCGCACTCACATACATGGAGAGACTGAGGTCAGCCTCTGGTGTCAATGGAAAGGCCTTGCACCATGTCTTTTGAGATAAGAATCTCTTTCCTTGTCCTGGAAACCATTAGGCTAGCCTGGCTGGCTAGTGAGTCTAGACACCTGCCTGTGTCTGCTCCCATGCTGGGATTACAAACGTGCTGCTGTTTGCTGTTTGGCATGCGGCTACCGACGCTGCACGGCCGGCGCTTTCTTAGCCTCCAGTCTCTGACCTGTCCCTACTATTCATCAGTTTGGAGCTTTCTTTTTCAGCAAAGATGGGTGGGTTCTTTTTGTGACTATTTCCTATCAGGAAGAAGGGTTGTTGGTGCTTGAGTTCCCACTTACTCTGTGTCCCATCTGTCATCTGTCCACCTACCCCCGTGCTGCCCTTTCAGTTTAGTCACTTTCCGACGCGGTGGGTTTAGGTGATTTTAAATCCCGAAATACCCGTTGCTGTGCTTCTGCTTGATTGCCAGCGTACATTTGTTTCCTGTGCATGCCAGTGACTGCTCACAGGAAAATAGTTGTCGTTAGTGAAGTCTCTGCATACTGCCTTTGAATAAAACATGACAAGATTGAAGGATGGATAATTCTTAGCACTGCTGTCAGTTGATAGTTCTTGTTCATAGAAGAACAGTTAAACTTGTCATGTATGAAAGCTAGGGGCTCGTGCTCCAGTGACCGTGTTCTCTTCTGTTACAGGCAGTGTTTGACCTCTCCCCACAGCAGAGAGAATGGCAGAGGTAAGGTGCGCACAGTCGTCAGCGTAGAAACCTACATCACCTCTGTCTCCTGGGAGCTATGCATGTGTTAAATACTTTAGTATGTAAATAACTCGTAATGACCTCAAAACTCCCAGGTCTTAGGAGAGTCATACGTAATCTTTACTATGCTTTGAATCATAAGTTCTAGTTTTTATTTGAAAATCTAATCTTTAAAAAAGTTTTAAGTACGAAAGTTTATATGAACATTGTTTAGAATTTGGTTTGGAGCCAGTTATGATGGTACACACCTAGAATCCCAGCACCTGGGGCTCTGAAACAGGAGGATCGTAACTTCACTTCCTTTCCGGGCTAAATAGTAAGTTCCAGAGCATGAGTTACTTACGGAAACTGTCTCAGAAACAATAGAGTTGCTTTGGACCTGGACAGCAGAAAGGAAAAGCTGTCTCGTTCTGGGAACTGCCTCATGGAACTTGAGGTGGCGCCCGGGAACTCCGTGTGCCTGTGAGCCTGTGGCTGGCCAGGGCACTGGGCTGGTGTGTCTGGAGTGTAAATGTGTTTGCAAGAACTGCTTCTGTGTTGAGTGCTTTCTCCTTATAGTTCCCAAGATGCCTTCTGTTTAAGGTCGCCTAATTTCAGATCATTGCCAAAAACGTACCTTATATGGAGGATTTTGGCAGACGTTTTGTTTTCTAATTCCCAGTATACTTGCAGAGTCTTTTTCTTTTAATTACCAGTTTTCCTGGTTAAAAATAGCAGTGAATATTAGGGCGCTCTGGGTTTCTAGCACTTTTATTAGAAAACTGTACCTAGAGATGAAGTGTATTACTTTTACCCAGAAATAATGAAGAGTCAGGTGTGTGGTGCATACTTTAATCCCAGTAATTAAGAGTGCGGGCAGGAGAGTCAATAGTTCAGACCCACCCTGTCTCAAACAGCTCGAACACATACAAAACCCAGTTTTTAAGAGTTTCATTTATATGTATGTGCCATATTGTGAGCTGCCTGATGTGGTTGCCTGGAACTGAACCCCAGCGTTGAAGAGCAGTAGTGAGAGGGAACAGAGACTCTTGATGACGAGAGGCTTCCATCATGCTTGCGGGCACGCCTTCACATGGAGGTCACACTTGGCATTTGGTTGGTCTGTTCCATGCAGACCTCACATACAGTTCCTCAAACTCTGAACATTGCCGTCCATTAAGGTGAATGTGAGGCACAAGACCGATGGAACATGGAGCAGCCTGAGCTCTAAATAGTCTATGTCCGTAGGTGTGTAAATCTGAGGATGGGACCTCTTTCTAGACACTTCTTAGTTACCACGTCCTGCTTCCACTAGAGCGGGCTCGTCTCAGAATTGGCTCTCAGTAATAGTTAGGATCTCATTCTCTTTCTTTATAAGCATATTTCAAACCCTGCACTCACAGCTTTTTGGGATGTCCGCTTTCTCTTTCTAGATTTAAGGCTTATTTCAAATTAAATTTAGTGTATAAAATTGATTTGTAATGTTAATAAAACAGGCCTGTTAACCTAGTATTCTAGGTAGATAACACATAAATATTTGCTCATTCTGTGTCTGTGCAATACTTTTACCATTGCAATGAGCTATGGTGTGTTAGGAAATTAATATTTGTGTTTTCTAAGATCATGTGTTTGTGTAAGTTTTTTTCTGCTTTCAAGTTCAGTATTTTTTAGAGTAGTGTAAGCTCACAGCAGAGGTGAGTGGGAACTACAGAGTCACCGCGTGTCATTCCCCTTTATCAGCATCAAGCACCGGCTGAGTCTGCAGGGCTCAGCACGACCCGAGGTCTGCATTCGCTGGGCGCCCCCCGGTGGAGGTCGCTCCTGAGCGAGCAGTCGTGAAACCCTGCACCCGCCACTGCCATCGAGCCTAGTGCCCAGGTTTCCGTGCCCTCCAAGTTCTGTCTTCCCCCGTATGGCTTTCTGTGCTTGCCCAGTTAGGGCGTGAGATGGCACTGAAGGTCATGTAAGGGGGTGAATCTAGGCATTGTTTCTGTCTTTTATATTTTAAGATTCACTCACATTTCACTATGTATGGTTGAACACTTTAATTTTTTTTGAAGTTTTAGGTTTATTTCTTTTATATGTGTAAGTGTTATGCTTGAATCTCTGTCTGTGTAGCATGGATATCCTGGAACTGAAGTTAGGACAGTTTTGACCACCACCATGTGGGTGCTGGGATCAGCCCTGGGACCTCTGCCGGAGCAAGGCGTGCTTTAACCCTTGAGCCCTTTCTCCAGCCTGCTCTGTATGTGTGTGTGTGTGGGGGGGGGGGTTTGCCTGCACGTATGTCTGCACCACTGGTGTGTCTGCTGCCTGTAGAGGCCAGAGGCCATTGCATCCTCTGAAACTCACCTGCCAGCCTGTGGGGGCTGGGAAGAGCAGCCAGTGGTCTTTGGCAAGCCATCTCCAGCTCCTTAAGCATTGTCTTTTAAATGATTGTTTTAAAGTTGTGTGAAGACCAACTATAGTGTTTTGCTGAGAGTGGTCCTATAGAGTAACGTTTCCTTCTTTTGGGAAAGAACATGCCAGGCGATGTGCCAGCAACTCAGTGTGTGACGAGCCTGGGGCTGTAGCGCAGTGACCTGCAGCCTCCGTGTGGCCCTGCTGTGCGGCCTGTGCCAGCTTCTTCAGATCTGCAGCACTTACTCAGTGCCTGACAGGAGTGAAGGTTCTGTAATGGATGGTGTGTGAAAGATAGCCCAAACACTCAGCAGGGCCACAGGTGCCTTTTGGGGCCTCTGCCTGCCCCTCTGTTAAACCGCCTGGCTTTGAGCAGTTAACCGAAGTGTTGTAGCGTGCAGTCCTGTGGTGAGCCTGTGGTTCGGAGAGCCGTGGAGGGGCGTCTTGGCTGATGTGTCGCTGCTTCTGTCCCCCGTAGGATGCTGCAACTGATCCAGAGCAGGCTGCAGGAGGAGCACTCCCTTCAGGACGTGATCTTCAAGAGTGCGCTCGCCACTGCGCCAGCAGTGCTGCCGCCAAGGTGAGAGGCCGCGGGTGCTCGCTGGCTTACGCAGACCGTGCTGGGCACAGCCTTCCGGCGGCCTGCTTTTCTTCCTGGGAGAGTGTTTTAGGCCTTAGTGGTATCTCGCCCTTACGTTCTGGCTTGTGAGTTTGAGCTTTTCAGCCAGTTATTTCACTTTTGTCTCCATTTGGAATTTTGCTGTGTTTTAAGAACAAATTGTAAGACTGTAGACATTTTGGTTGAGAATTTATTTTTACTTCTGTGTCAGAGTAAACCATGAAAATCATGCTGTAATCATGAAAGTGATTTTTCAAATTGAAAAATATGCAGAGGCTTTATATTGGCTTAGAAAGAACACACGAGTTTGCAAGTGGCCCGGTGCCTTTTTCTGACATCAGAGTTCTTTCCAGCCAGTCTGCACCGCAGTGCCAGAAACATAAGGAAAGGGTGCTGTGTTGCATTCTTCCTTTGAGTTCGTAGTTCTTCTGCATTGGATTCAGTCCTTTGGGTGGGCTTGAAGATAGTTAATGTTGTGTTATGTAAGTGTAGCTGCAGAGCAGCTGGAGAGGCACTGAGACTCCCGCGCCAGTCCTGACATTTAGGACATTAGCTAAAAATTAGGGGATCTTGTTTGCCCTGTGTGCCCTTGCGCACGGCTACGCGGTCACCGTGTCCCCTGTGCACTGAGACACCTCAACATGCCTTGCTTTACAGGGAAGATGGTTCATCTCCGACTCCAGATGCATGCAGAGTCCATGGCCATCTGTATGTCAACAAAGTAGCAGGGAATTTTCACATAACTGTGGGCAAGTATGTTCTTTTCACTTCCTGGAGATCTCTGCATGGGGTTGGAGTGCGGTAAAACTCCCGTCCTCTCCCGGCCAGGTAGTGCGTAGGCAGCCCCAGAGGGGCTCGCAGGGTTGTCTGCGGGTAGACGAGAGTGAGCATCTACCTGGTAACCTAGCAGCCGGAGAGCCCAGCCGTAGACACGCCATCAGAGCATTCCCGTGTTGATGGCAGGGTTAGCCCCTACGAAAAGTAGAAAGCTGCTGGTGTCTAGAATGAAGCAAATTGGGTGAACTTAGGAAAATTGTCACCTATTCTCCTGAATACTTTCCAGTGTAGAAACCATCACAAAACCTCTTGGTAGAGGCCATTGTGGATGAACATCTCCCCAGCTCCCTCCTTCTAGAGAGAGGTGGGGACTTCTTCACCATTGAAGCCATCGGTTGCACGTTTGCTGTGTGTAGAGTGCCACCAGGCCAGAGCCTCAAGGCCAAACAGTGAGAGAGAAGCCTTTCAGTCTTCCTCCGTGCTGAAGTCCTGCAGGAACCTTCAGACTTTGACCAGGAAATGGTATTTACTGCTGACCTGGCCCTGTATAGAGGCTGGAAGGAGAGCTGATAAGGAGAGCTGCAGCGGGCTGGAGTCCTGGGGGAACCTTGGAACTGTGGGGGGTTCCATGCTGGGGGAAGCTGCGCAAGGGCGGCTTTGGTTTCTGTGGTTTAGAGAGAACGTTAGGTTCTTCTCCGGAAAGGCTTCAGTGTTTAGAGTGAGCACAGCAGACTTAGGTTTTCTTTGTTGTGCTTTTCTCCTGCAAACTCAACCTTTGTTGTTTGTCCCCTGCTCAGTGCCCATTTGCCCATTTGCAGCATGGTCCTGGGGACTTTGAACCCTTGGCAGCACAGAGGCCATACATGATTGAGAGAGCTCATCACAGCTTTGCCTGTAGGCAGCGGGGACACAGTGGCGCCTCTGTGGTGGTCTGCGTTTTCTTTTTGCCTGTTCTCCGCTGACTAAGGTTCAGGGTGGCTCTCCTTCCATTGCTAGGTCCCATTTGATGGGTGAGAGGGTATGTCAGAAAATAAGCAGGAACATTGAAGTGTTTTTAGCAAGTGTGATTTTTAACATTTGTGCTCTTTATGCTTTCCAACAAGAAAGGGGAATTTATAATCTAAAGCAGTTCTAAGTTCCTCATCGAGTAAAGCTCTGGGTTAAGAGCTGTTGAAGTCAGTGCAACACTGGAGTTTGTAACAATTTAGGACCGTTGGGCACATACTAGGACTTGACAGATGAGCACGGTATGGGGAATTTTATTGCCAGTGTCTTCATTGCTAAAATTGGTAGCTGGTAAAGCATAAGTGAGGAAGAGTGTGGGGGTCTCAGGGACTGTGCTTGGTGCCCCACAGGACTGTCGCCAGTGTCCTGAGCGTTGCTGCGCCTCATGTAAACACCCTAGACTCACGGCTTTTGTCATCTTTTGAAGCACCGTCTAACTTGGCCACAGAGCACTGTGGCACCTACCTATGACACCATGACTGCATCAAATCAACATGTACATGTTGATTCTTCCGGGCTAACCAAGTGTTCATCACAGCAGCCCCAGCTCCAAGCACATGCAGCGGTCAGGAAATTAGCTTAAAATGTCTAGTACATTTTCTAAGTGAAAGCAGAGTTAAAACCAAGTTTGTACATGTGCCGAAAAGAGAGATCTTGTACTTGTAAGTTAATGGAGTATGTTTGATAGCAGCACCTGAAGAAGTATGTTCGTTGAAAGCAGCCTGGCTTTGGACCATTAGTGTTCAGTGAGAAGGTGCTCCAGCAGCTGAGGACAGTGAGCCCAGGGTCCAGTAGCCAGCCTAGAAGACAGGGCTGGGGTGTGGCTCTGTGGTAAAGAGCTACTTCGGTCTGAGAGGCTCTGAGGTCCTTTCCTGCACCTACACTGGGCAGCCCACTGTGCCGTCAGCTACAGAGGGTCTGCCGCCCTCTTCTGGCTTCTAAGGGTAGTGTGCTCATATGGACGTACCCACAAACAGCACCTATACATAAACACATAGAATTGTAAGTTAAGCAAAAGATACTTAAAAAAAACGTGTCTGACTGGGCTTCCTGGGATCCTGAAGAGTGCACAGGTGTAGGGTGTGGGTGTTGGTTAGTGGACTTGAGGATCGATGGTACTTTTAAAGTGATGGTGGACTGGGCTGTGGGCAGCTGAGCTGAGGGAGATTGTTAAGTCATGGAGACTCCGATTCCACAGCGTAAAGTGACGTCTGGTGTGGCTGAGCAGTGGGGAAGAGCTGTTACAGTTTTCCTGTTACTTTTTTTTTCTTGCTTGCTTACTGCTTTTAGATTTGTTTGTGAACTCTTGATAGAATGTTTCTTAATAAATGTAATCTCACATTATCAGGGAAAACAGTATATATGTATTAAACTAGTGTTTAAACATGAACTAGTGTGGCCAAGGTGCTGCAGTGAGACGTGAGGGTCATGGTTCTGAGTGGCTGTGGTAGCCGTTGGTGTGTCGGCAGACCGAAGTGGATGTTGTCATGGGGCCAGGGCCTCCAGTGTCAGCTCAGATCCCGCTCAGACCCCAGGACAAGTGCAAAGAAAGGCTTGCCATCAGCTTAATTGTACAGATTCGGGAATTCTGCACCGAGTCGGGAATTACTGACCTGTGATACACAAAGCATGAAGAGAAGACTAGTAGTTCTCTAGACATGTCTTCAAGGGAGCGGGCAGGCTCAGTTGAAGCATGCTTATGGGTTTGTGTTTTCAGGGAGGAAACGTGAAGGGTTATTTCAGGCCCTTTCCAGACACACTTGAGACCATTTTTGAAATTGGGAACACCAACTTTAAACCTCTGAGCAAAGCAGTTTCCCCGGAAAGCATGTGTGAGCTACAAAGTGTGAACTGGGTAATTAGGGTTGTGTTTCACTAATAATTGTTTCTGAAATGGTATTCTCATTATGTAACTGTGATATCCTTGGTGTCTGTAATCTTGCCTCGTAAATACTTACTGTGTTTCCCCTGTGGCTTTCTGCAGCCCTCAGCTTAGGACCTTGCAGAGCTGGCTTAGCTGTAGGCCGCGAGCTCTCCCGTACATTATGATACATGTTACTGAGCAGCGCAGGGAAGGTTGGCCTTCCTGTTCCTTATATGTGTGTTTTCTCCTCCTTTCAGAGCAATCCCACATCCTCGAGGCCATGCACACTTGGCAGCACTTGTCAACCATGATTGTGAGCAATTTTTGAAATTTTGTTTCAGCATAGAAAAGTTAATTTTGTCTGTGGGTTTTTCATTTGTTTTATTTTTCATTTGCAAACACTAATGAGCCTTAAAAGTGAATTGTTGGCTCATGTGGTGGCATACACCTCTGCCTTTAATGCCAGCCAGAGACAGAGGCAGGTGGATCTCTGTGAGTTTCAGGCCAGCTGGGACTAAATAGTGGGATTCAGTCTCAAAATAAGTAAATAAAAATGTTAACTCAGTGTGTCAGTACCTATAACCCCAGTACTTGGGAGGCCTGAGCAGGGGGATTACCGTAAATCTGAAGTTAGCCAGTGGTACACAGTGAGTGCCCGAGTCAGTGGCCCTGCTTCAGAGAGCAAAAGCCAGAAAAAGGTAAGCTGTTCAGAAATTAATATCCAAAAAGAAAACAAAGACGTGATACCCATCTAGAGGAGACAACATTAAGTGTGTTGCTTCTAATCTGTTCTGTCTGTAAGTTCACCGTGTTTCTCCTTGCTCACTGCTTAGAATCGCTGCAGTGAGCGCTTTGTGTCATTCTGCAAACACACAGTGACAGAAGAGAGTGTGTTTAGTTTAGTTCAGTTTGTAGGTCAGACACAGACGCGTTCACACAGACACACAGCTACTTTGGGGTAATGGTTATTGTCAAATGTAAGTGTTTTTGGAGAGAGGGGTTGAGGCATGTTGTCATGTAGCCTGCCAGGTTGGCATCAGACTAACCTGAAAGACCTGACCCTCTGTGTCTGGGTACTGGGGCTACAAGCATGTGCCACTGTACCCAGCAAGTCTTCTCTTTAAACTTTGCTTTTGAGAACAAAGTAAACTCGTTAAAAATCAATTGGTCGTATGTAATGGTGTATATTAACAGTACCTGTGCTCACTTTCATTATTTAACCACCATCATCCTAGGTGCTCTCAGGGCACAGGCTTGTGTTTGTACGATGTTTAGAAGCAAGAATGTTGTACATTTTGCACATAACATTTCGTAGAAATTAATTTGTAAACAATAAGATTTGAGGTGGCATTTTATTAAAATGATTGTAGCATCTCGTATATTTTTTAAACATGTTAAATTTTGTTAAGCTTGCAAATTCTAGGTGATTTTGAGAGTAGATAAAAATGTAAAATCATTTGTAGCATGGCCCTTTGAAGAATAATGTAATTTCTCTGCCTTTTTTATCTTAGCTTACAACTTTTCCCACAGAATAGATCATTTGTCTTTTGGAGAGCTTGTTCCAGGGATTATTAACCCTTTGGATGGAACTGAAAAGATCGCTGTGGATCGTAAGTATTCAGTGACTCCCAGAATTCCATTCAGGACATTGGTCTTAGCACTGTTTGGTTGTCATTCCTCCCACACTCGTGAAGGCTGTCTAAGTGGCTGGCGAGCAGTGGCAGCCGTGAGTGGGATTTGAGTGTTAAAAAGTAAGTCCTTAAACAGATCGAAGCGATGCCAAGGCTGAAGAGAGTTGACGCATTGATAATGGTGCAGCTGTCACCAGAGGAAGAAGTTCTTGTGTCACAGGTTCAAGGCTCTAAATGCCATGTGCTTTTGTGGGAAGCTCTCTGGAGAATGTCACCAACATAGGAAACGTAAGGCTACTCCGATCTGCTTTGCTGTGAGTGTGCTCAGACGTTACGGCAGCACAGGAACTGTGTTTGTGTTTCCACCTCCGCGCCTCTGCTTGGCTCTACTTAATCAAGCCCTGAGGATTATTTTCTTAGTTCCGTAGCAAGTGGTGCATAGCCTGTGTTCAGGTGACTTTGAGATGGTGTCTTACCACTGGCCTGTCAGTAATTAGGTAGCCAACGGTGGCCTTGCACAGTCCTCAGTCACAGACTTAGGTTTCCATGTTAGCTTGTTTTTGGACATTGAAATTTGTGACTTGTTTTAACCCTAGTGAGGCCTCGTGACCCTAAAAATGACCTTTGACCGCATAGTAATCACTGAGCTCTGCTGTCATTTCCAAAGTCTGGCAATTCCAGCTTACTGGTGTGTTTTGGACTAACAGACATGAGAACTGTGGTCAGCAATACATGGGGTTTTATTGGTGCTTCTGGTCTGAGAAACACTTGCTGCCTTTGCCTTCTTGGGTTGCCTGCATGGTTCGTCAGTGCCAGAACCAATGCACGTGGGCACCGGGGCTCCGGTTTATCAAGTATGAGCGCATTGTTTTCACTAGCCTTTCTGTCGTCTGTGACACCCTAAATTAAATAGTTACATTAAATTTCAGGTTGACACTTAATAGAAGAATAGATTTGGTAGTACTCTGTTGCTACTGGATTGATGAGAAGGCATATTTTGTTTTTATTATAGACAACCAGATGTTCCAATATTTCATTACAGTTGTGCCAACAAAGCTACACACATACAAGATTTCAGCAGACACCCATCAGTTCTCTGTGACAGAAAGGGTAAGTAGGACCTAACTGCTAAAATGATCAAGGGGTTTCTTTTTGTAGTTCCCCAACTGTAAGATAAGGTTGAGGATGTAGTAGTACTCCCTATTAAACTCTGTGGATGTTTTGAAATGAATTAACATTTTAAGAAAAAAAAAAAGTATCAGAAATGGGTATTAGTGTGTGTGTTCTAGAGGAAAAAGATTTTTTTTTTTTTTTTTTTTTTAATGTTGGAATGTCTCTGGTACAATCTAAACTATGATGGCAGAGGTTACCGTATGGATTTCAATTTGCGATATTCTGTAGCAGTAGAGGCAGCCCATAGTCTGCCGCAGGCCTCCTGCTTTCTTTCTGCTCGTAGTGTGTCTTCGTCTGAGTAGGCCTGTCAGTACAGCAGGGCTTTCTGAAGCATGCTCCAGGCTTCAGGGGCCATGGTCTTAGCAGTTGTGTGAGACGAAGAGCAGGCCTGAGCAGTGGCTGTCTGTTCCTTGTGAGAAAGGAGGTTGAGGTTGGTATTCCTCAAGGGCTGGTGTGCAGGTGAGTTTCAGGGCATGTGAAAGCTTTGCACTCCACGCTTCCTCCTGTGATAATGCTGCCATTGGTCATCTCTAGGGCTTCAGTGAACATAGGGTCTCCTTGTGCTTCTGAATCCAATGTCTAACTTTCAAGTGGTTCAAGGAGCGAAAACAGGTGTGTAGTGTGTGTGTCAGTAGGTAAATAAGTGTTGTACTTCCCAACATTTCTGTCAGCGCAGGAAGACACTTCTCACAGCAATATTTGACAGACAGCGGAGAAGCACTGTGTAGGTTTGGCAGGGCTTCGGGGCAGAGTGAGCAGGTAGGTGTGTAGGGTTATAGATCACTGTGGAGGTGCTGAGAGCCGTGGTCTGTGAGAGGGCCTGGCATGTTTTCAAGCCGGTGTGTGCATGCTTCTGCTGCAAATGTCTTTGCTTAGAAACCCCTTTCCAAGATGCAGTGGGAAAAGCAGACAACTACTGCATTATGAGGTTGTTTATTGTGTTACAATGGTAGAAGACCAGAAACAGCCCAAGTTGTAAACCTGCTTGGCGGAAGGACGCGGGGCCATATAAAAGAAGTGTCTGGATGTGAGATCGTCTCCAGGGCATATTTGAAAATAGCAAAAAGAAATTAAAAAGTCCCTGTGTACGGAGTGTTCGCTGAGGTGACTGTTTATTGTAAAGAGTTTACACCGCAGAGTGGGAGGGCTGGCCACTGTCGTTGTGGAAGCCCACTTTAATCAAGGCCCATCCTCTCAGTGCTGCTGTGCCGCCTGCTCCCCAAGAGAGCTGGCATTACTGTAGATGGGCACAGGTTTCGTGCCTTCAGCGTAATGCGCTCCTAAGAGGTTTCAAAGGAATGAACTGTTGGAGGCTTGGTTGTTGGCTTGTGTATACGCTTCTCCATATTGTAATAAGGGAGGGGTTTTGCCACTGTCCGTGTTCCTGATGCTTGCAGCTTAATTTCAGCGTAGTAAAATAACAGGACAGGAAACACCTGCAAAGAAACAGTACAAAAGCATGTCACAGTGTAACTCAGTTCTTACTGCTTACTTGGTTGTAAGCACATGAAAAAAAATGGTATGTTTAAGATTACCATTTCTAAACCTAGTTAAGAATAGTTCAGTTCTGGGTTGTTTGCATTTTGAAACAGGGCCTGGCTCTTGAACACTCGCTTCCAAGCGCAGGATTACGGTTTTACAGCACAGTGGCAGGATCGAGGTGGTTCTTTGGAAAGCTGACCCCGCCAAGAACACGGTACTTGTGTGAAGAGCGAGTGGCCCAGGGCAGTCCATCCTAGGGACAGTAGGATGTCTTGTGTGGTCCACCTGTAGCTTGTGAGGAGTGTGTTTTAGTGCCCACGCGATGTGTACATTGTTTTTCTCTCCTCTCCCTTCCTTTCAGGAACGCATCATAAACCATGCTGCTGGCAGCCACGGAGTGTCTGGGATATTTATGAAGTATGACCTCAGTTCTCTCATGGTGACGGTCACTGAGGAACACATGCCTTTCTGGCAGTTTTTTGTAAGACTCTGTGGTATAATTGGAGGAATCTTTTCAACAACAGGTTAACATTCATTTCTTTGCCTAATTTCCTTTTGTTTTGCTCTGAGATGAGCTTTCACTGGGATAATAGCCATGAGCTGCCATGTCCTGCTGTCTGTCTGATCTCTAACAGTGTCTGTTACCGCAGATGTTGTAAAGATAGTTCACTGGGGAAGAAGCCGCTAGCAGCTGTTCAAGGCCTAGAACAAAAAGTAAATACATAAAATGGTTACCGTTAAAAGTCAACAAAAAATACACATTTTCATATTTTAATATTTGGAGAATTCTTTAAATTCTAGAGCCCTAAAATATATTTCCTACCCTGTAAGCTTATCGACTTCACAGGAATCAGTAATGTAAGGAAGATTGTGTGGTAAGCCAGACATCCCGACTGTTAGTTACCCCAGAGTGCTAGACACAGCTGGACTGGGGTCTGTTCCACCGTTGACTCGGCAGTCCTTAGTTAACCTGTCTTTTCTGAGATAACATCTGCTTTGTAAGTGTGCTATAGGCATATATAAGAAAATGCCCAGGAAGCGTCCCAGATATAAATCCCCCTTGATTTAAATAAAATTCCTTTCCCTATACAAGATGACTATTTGAAGTCATCTTTTATGGTATTTTTTAGTAGATCAGTAATGCTTTGGTGTCAGCCCAAGATTCGGGACTGTTTGCAGAGGTCACCCCAGCCCTTGCTCACTGTGAGCTCACCCTGTCACGTGTGACTCGTGTGTCTAGGACAAGTGCACGGCTTTTCCAGGCAGTTCTGTGGCTTCATTTAAGGTCATTTAAATCTATGTTACTTGCAAAGTTATGTGAGAAAATCTTGCATAGGTTGTTTATAGGTTGTGATTTTTGTGCATGGAGTGTGGTTTTGACAGACAGCTGCTTATTTTTGAATTTAACCCTCGAGCAGCTTTAGCCTGAGCCGCAGCCACAGATGGCTCCTGTCGCCAGCCGTGCTCTGCGGCGGTGTGTGGCTTCTCAGTCTCACCTAACAACATCAAAGCAGTTTAACTAAAAACTGGGACTTCTTTTACTTATTACAGGCATGTTACATGGAATTGGAAAATTCATAGTGGAAATAATTTGCTGTCGTTTCAGACTTGGCTCCTACAAGCCCGTCCATTCTGTAAGTGACACTGCCCTCCCGCTGTGCATGTCCTTCAGTCGTGGTGTCATCCTTAAGTCCAAATAGAAAGGACCCCCTCCCCCAGACCTTGCACTCAGCCGTCAGCCCAGTAGAGCTGACACTCTTCTCCTCCCCACAGGTCCCCTTTGAGGACGGCTGCACGGACAACCACTTACCTCTTCTAGAGAATAATACACATTAGCACCTCCTGGGTGGAGAAAAACTTTTTGCCTGAGACATAAAACCTTTTCTAATAATAAAATGTTGTGCAATATAGTCAAAGAGAAGAAAATATGAGAACCCAGAAACATACTTATTTAGAAAAAGGAAAAGGAAAAAAAAAAGAAGAAGAAGAAGAACCAGCCAAGGAAAAAACCGAAGTCGTCTTGTATATGTTGTGTCTGTTACAAATGTCCTAGAAGAAATTATGCAGCTAACTGGAGAGCCAGAGCGCCCGGCGACGAAGCGTTGATGCTCTCCTAGCAACTGCTCTCCCAGACAGTGGAAAGCAGCGTCTAGAGGACGTGAGTGGACAGTGCTTAAAGACCAGAGCATTGAAAAGTGCAGATGTGTGCGTCCTTCTGTTTTTAAAGATGTGAGAATAAAGTGTGTAAAACATATGGAAAACTAGTCTAGACTCTGAAAAGCTGTAATCAGCTCACGTGGTTAATAGAGGAAGCAGGGACTGGACCGACCTCACAGCCATATTAATGTTAAGCCATAATGACTAGCCCATGTTGTCCAGTCCTGGGTTCTGATGACAGTCACTGCTTTCCTCAGAACTCCAGGCGCTGACTTTCCTTACTGTTGAGGGTGGATCTCAGAGAACTAAGGTGAAGTCTCCCGTGGGCAGGGACATAGTGCTGTGCTGTGTAACAGGTGTCACGCATAGCTGTACTTGACGTGGCACGGAGAGGAGAGCGTGAACACTTACTTGTAAAGATGAAAGTTACCAGTGTGTGCTTGTGGCAAGTGGAGAACAGGATAGCTGACCGAGAAGGCTGCGGCAGTGTTCCGTGCAAGGCAGCGTCAGGTCTGAGGCAGGGAGGGCGCAGCTGTAAAACTAGACGAGGAACCCAGTGCTGCCCTGGCCTGCACGGGGCTGAGGAGGCTGTCGGACGCGTCCAAACTGCTGAGCAGGTGCCAGCGCGAGGGTTTAGCACGCCCTGAGTGGGAAGACTGGGTTTCGGTCTGTGTCAGGTACACGCCTACGCTGGCACGCTGGCTCAGGGTGGCTTGTCACAAACTAGTGCTTCAAGTAAAGGTTTTTAAAGATTAAAAAACGCTTTCTTGAAAGAGGGTAGGCAATCAGGGAAGGAGGAGATAGCAGGGCACTAAGCAAAAGGGTAGGAAAACGGCATTTTGTAGAAAATGAAAATTTGTTTAAAACACACAGTATTAAGAGTTAAGAGGTTAACTGACTAATAATATAATGTTTTAAAATTAATCCAGGAAATTTTAAACAATGAATGACTCTTAAGGTTTTGTTTCCTTTTGTTTTGTTTTTCCTTAAATTTTATAGTTGGGCTAGAAACAGAGCATCTTTCCAGGAGGATTTTGTTGGTGAGAACTGGACTGTTGGCCGCTTGAGAGAGCTGTTGTCTTCGGGGTCTCCGTGCTGGAACGTTTAGTCAGGGTTCAGGGAAGGAAACACTGATTTAGAATTATGTTCAACATTGCAATGTTTTTAAAAGACTTAAAATTATTTTAAATTATTTCCATGTTTTCTAAGTACCACGTTACAGTTTTATTGAGATGTATCTTTTCCATTAAAATTGACTCTGGGAATTTGTTTAAAGCAAAATTTCTTTGCTGTTAATAGACATTTTAAAAGTTAAGGCTTTCATTTGCAAGTAGTCAGGGTCACACTTTTCAGTAAAAGAATGAAAATTTTGACCGTCTGTTTGGGTGATGCAGGCAACTGCAGCTAGGATTTGTGGAGAGAGCTGTGCCCTCCCCCCCCCCCCCCCAGGCTTCTTTTTCAGGACAAAATGTCTCTGACCTGACAGTTACTCAGCTTTCCTTATACGGTGGATCTGTGGAGACAGGATACCTGAGGGTTCAGTTTTTTTCTTTTTATTAACAGGTGTGTATTCTTCAGTCCTAATATTTTGTCTGAGACCCCATTTACTTGAAATGTGTTTTTATACTATGTTTGTATGTATATACCTTGTCCTATAAATAATGAGTCAATAACAAGGAGAATAAATACTGTCAAGTGTCTAAACACTTGAATGTCCACCTCCTGAAATCTCCTGGCTCAGGGCTAGGACTGCAGACCACTGTCCCTTGACTTGAATGATGGACACTTCCCTCACCTGATACACTAAGAGCTATTTCTTCATCATCAGAATTTGTCACCTGAAACACAACTTACACTCTTAACTTGAAATGCATGAGAGTAAGTTGTAATAGTTTGATAGATGTGCTGTGATTCAGATGCCAGGAAGTTCTCCTTCACTTCAGAATCCTCCTTACACTTGTAGTCAAGACACAGTTTTTGGTGGTTTAAGAAATATATCACCCAGGGCCTTGAGATCCTCGAAAGTTCAGCATGCCATTGAATCTAGCCACTTCTTTTCCTGCTTGAACTGCCACGCCCTTTGTAACAGTTCTGGAATAACAATGGAGCCTGAGGTCCAGCCTGCGGCGGCATGGCTGCACTCCCAGAGCCGGGGACAGACCCAGCCGCAGCTCCAGGGCTTGCTAGCTTTGCTGAGTCAGCAAGCTCCAGGGGAGCCCAGAGACCCTGTGTGAAGAAATGGGATGGAAAGTGATTGAGGAACACTCCCAGCATTGACTGCTGGCCTCCACACACACACACACACACACACACACACACACACACACACACACACACATTGAGGAACACTCCCAGTGCCTGCTGGCCTACACACACACACACACACACACACACACACATACACACACACTGAGGAACACTCCCAGTGACTGCTGGCCTCCACACACACACACACACACACACACACACACACACACACACACACATTGAGGAAGACTCCCAGCGTTGACTGTTGGCCTACATACACACGTAAATAGGACCACAAACAGCTATCTGTGAACACAACACCAAGCGGTTTATAGGATTGTGTCTGTGAGCATTTGAGAAGCATTTAAATGTTCAGGCTCTTCTAACATTCCAGAGTTAACTCTTCTTCATGTAACTCGTCTGTGCACCTTTGTGTAATACCTTAAAAGAACCGCTCAAGAGGCAGAAGGAGACCCCTGAAGTGCAGGCTGGTGCCTGTGGGTATCACTGGGAGTGGGAGTGCTGTGGAGAGTCCTTGATTTGTTCTACAGGTATGTGCAGGTACTTGGGTGGCTGTGAGGTTGGGGTGTGTGTGTGTGTGAGAGAGAGAGAGAGAGAGAGAGAGAGAGTTTGGGTGTTGAATTCAGGCTCCTGAATATTGTCAGCAGGCGCTGTGCCCCTGAGTGGTCCCTGCCAGTAGCTCAGCTTTTAATTAAAGTGTGTTTTCTAGAGTTGACCGTGGTGTTCTACCTCACGTCTCTGACAGCAGGATCAGTATTTCAGATAGAATAGGAGGACACGGCTCTTCCTAACCTTGGCTTCAGGTAAACGGCGTTTGCAGAGAAACAAACACACTTTGTCATGTATCCAAAGAAGCTGATGCAGGCGGTGCCTGTGCCCCCATTTCTCTGGATGTAGGGGACCAACCCGGCCTTTTACTGACCCAAGTCAGCAGTTCCAGGAAGGTAAGCATGTGAGCCCTGCGGACTTTAAATGTTACTGATGGTTTGGGAAACTGGTTGCTCTGATTTAATCTGGTTAAGAATGTCCCTATAGGCTCAGGGTTAAATGTTTGGTTACCAGAGAGGAACTGTCTGAAAGGAGTACAGGTGTGGTCTGGGGGGAGTGTGTCAGTGGGTGGCTTTCCAGGCCCCCTCCCCCTCCCCCACCGAGCTCCCTGCCCTGAGAAAGGGGCAAGCCTCTGAAACTGAGCCCAAAAGGAAGCACTGGCTGCTTGGGAGGGTCGCCCTGGTCACAGAGCAGCGGCTGGTGTTCTCTACCTCAACATTCTGCTGTATTAACTGAGTGCTGGGTGAACACGCAAGTGTGAGAAGTGCCTTCCTTGGCCTCGGGTCGGCATCAGCTGTCTCCGTGCCCGTCTGAGCAGTGGATCCAGCATGGTGGGCACAGCCTGCGCGTCCTCAAGACGTCCTTCCGGATGCTCAGTAGCACGTGTAACGTGTAATCGTTGGCACTTTGTCACATGCATGAGGACTCAGTCACAAGCAGCCCTCTCTTTACCAGGACTTCTTCTCAAGCCTGAACTTTATATGCCTTGCCCAAGTAGTTTTCCCCATGGCTGAGCGTGTTATTAGGATTGTGTGGTAACTGGTCCTGGTGTGGATCTCATGGGGGGGGGGGGCTTTCTCACATAATTACCCACTTTTCTGCTTAAGTGTTGCCCCGTGTGAGATGCCACAGCGCAGTGGTGCAAATACAGCCCAGTTGGTGTGGCAAGAGAAGATGGAGTCAGTGTGCCCTTTGTTTGTGCTCCTCTGATAATTGTTCCTGTGGTTTTATTTGGCTGAGAGGTTTGAGAGGTCCCCTTTTTTCTGGGGACACGTGGCAGGAGGAAGTGCTCAGCGGTAGAGAACATTGAAGACAGGAGTTGGAAATTCAGTTTAATTTAATCGGAAGTTCACACTAACACTCGGTCCCTGGAGTTCTTGGCTTGATGGACCAGTGATCAAAAGGTCGCGGATTTCTGGAGCTTACTTAATCTAGTCCTGGATCCTGAGCTGCTCTCATCGGTTCCTTGGCTGTGTCTTTATGTGACTGTGTCTTCATGTGTCTTGTGGATGTCACACGTGGGAATCCACGGGGGCTTTGTGTCAGCGCTGGGCCTGGAGAGTGGTCACTGACCTTACTCCAGAGTGCAGGCAGTGTACCAGGAAGGGGCTGCCCAGCGTGTTCCTTCAGGGTGCCAGGCGCGCTTCAGCCATCAGAACCTAAGCGTGCACTTACCACCTGCTTGAGTCAGTCCTCAGTCATTTGTGTGGCACACACTTTTAGGCCCCAGATGTTTTCTTTGAACATTCTTGTTTTTAGCGTGCAGAAACCCTGCAGCCCAGAGCCCCCTTATCTCAGTGCGTACAGGTTTGGTTTTTATGTGTATGTAAGATGCTTAAGCAGAACGCTCACTCTGCTTTTGACTCTGTGCAGCCTACAGTTACCGTGCAGCTAGGATGACTGGGGTACAAGGGCCTCAGGTAACACAGGGGTCACCTCCAACTCCATACCTCAAGACAGAACTAGAACTTAAATTTTTATTTGAAGTTTTGCTTTCCTCACTGGCAAAGATCAGGGGGTTTTTCTGTGGTTGTAGTCTGGGAACTTGCCTCCCCATCAGCCTTTCTGACCGAGGCCTGAGTGAAATGCGTCTAGAAGGGCTTTGGCAACATGGATAAATGAGAACAGGAGAGGGTTGTCAGGACAGTGGGGATTAAACGTGAGGGATCATGTCAGAATCATAAGAGGCGACTCAGATGAGACGCCCTAGGCCTTGTTCATTAGTTCTTCCTTGGTGTGTTAATTACCTACACTGTTTGTTCCTTTTAGGGCTGAGATGTGGACATAGTGAGAAACGGCAGACATGAGCCCGCTGTTTCCATCTTCCACCACCCAGGTCCGCTGGAACAGAGGCAACATCTGTGGACCGTGAGGACATTGAGTCCCCTCGTTCACAGTGGCTGTGAGCTTTCACCTCAGTGCTGGGAGTGCTTTCCTGCCGAGGGCCGCTTCCCCAGCCCGCTTCGGCTCTGCCATGCGGGCTTCCATGCTCACTGAGCTAAACTTTTTGTCTCGAAGGGAAAGCTAAGGCTAGGGAGAGGGTGCTTCCTGCTCGTGTGATGTGGACAGTGGTACCATCAGGATGGGAGGTGGAAGTTGTCTTTGTATACAGCTAGAGGCTGACTCCTCACTGAACAAACCCCAGAAACCCCACAAACCCAGTGAGGAAGGAGAGGAGATGGATGGCAAGTTTGACTGGAAGCTTGGGTGTGCTTCTCTTTACTTTCTAGAGTAAGACAGTTTTCTGCCTTAGAGGTATCTGAGGTCCAGATGATGGGCTGGTGGAGTGGTCTCAGGCCTTCAGCATGCTGGAGGCTCTGAAGTACGAGAGGAACTTGTAACAGAAGCTCACAATGAAGAACCAGACGTTCCTGGCCACCTGAGACCTTGCGATGAGGAGGCGCCAGATGATGAGGAACAGGACGGTGTTAAAGAGGTAGTGGATGTTCCGGAGCCTGAGGGAGGAGACAGAGCACTGTTAGGCCCCGCGCCCGCACCCGTTGTGTGACCTGCAGCCTAAAAGCAGTTACGTATGCGCCTCTACCCCCCCCCTCCCCCCCGTCACCTGCAGCCTGTCATGTCCCTGTGGTGACCAGCCAGAACCAGGCTCTCTTGAGCCCATGGCAGGGCGTGCTGCTCCTTTCTTTTCATGTCTTTCCTTTTTTGTTCATGACTAATCGGGTTTCCTTCATGTTTTCCTAGCTTCTTATTCTTCCCCTGCTTCTCTGAAGCTCTTGCACAATCATAGTTCACGGTTGAAAGTAATATTTTAGAAATACGTTCTGGTCTTTTAATACCGAAAATCCTCCCTGGCCAGTGAGACTGCGGAGTTTATTACCCTTCTGGAGTGAGTGTGGAACTTGAGTGGGGACACGTGTAAGGGTCAGAGGCAGGGATCTGACTCCACAAAGTTGTCCCCTCACCCCCACAGGCACTGTGGAGGGCATACTCACACCTGTGCAAAGTTTGAAGCCTCACTGTCTTGTTGGCTGGAGGGTGAACAGTGAACTCTGCAGCCCCTTGGTTTCTGCAGGAATCGTGACCTGAATCCTCTAACTTGTGTGTCAGGAATTTTGACTAAAAGAAGTAGGAAGGAGTTTTAGTAGTTACCTGATTTTCCAAGTCATGTGGTATGACCTGCCCTTTGGGTATTAGGTCACGCTGTGATAAGGTGCACAAGAAGGAACAAACGTAAGGTCAAGCCTGGCTCCTGTGTTTTCCCATGAACAACATTTTTGTCTTATTTGAATACTTCCGTGTTGATGGGCTAACGGAAAGAATCCCTGCCTCAGGAGTGAGGTGAGATCTAAATTCAATGTTGTGCATTACAGGATGGTTTGGAGTGCAGGGTCTGTACCGCTTCAGAAGTGGGAATCCAGCCTCCTCATAGGCGCTGCATAAAAGCTGACTGCCTTCCGTCACATGCATCCTGCTGCGGGTCCGTCAGCAGCCGTACCTCGCAGACGCCAGGGAATGTCTGTGCTCACCTTCTCAGGTGCTGCCTCGCTTTGGGGACACCAGCCAGGTCCTCTTTCAGTAGATACTTCTTCACGCCCAGGACATAATTTTCAATGTATTCGAGCCAGTTCAGCTGGCGCACATCAAAGTTGAATACCTGCGAAGCAAGAGCTACTATGGGCTGCCAGCAGTGCACTGCCAGGCAGCCGCCTTGTCCAGTGTAGCTACCTGGAGCTCATCACTATGGCTACATCTGCTAGCCAGTGAGCCTCCGCCACACAGCTACCCGTCTCCTCAGCACTGGGTTACCCAGCGTGCCATACCCAGCAGCAAGGAAGGCAGCCCACCAAGTAGCTCTCTTAGCTGCACTGACTTGTTTCCTGGGCACGCTGGCATCATTGCCTGCTTTTCTCAGGATAAAGCCATCTGTCTGTATACCCGACACTACTGTAATTCGGAGTTCCCAAGGTGCACTGCAGTCACGTCATACGTACTCTCTGATCCTCAGGACTCAGCTCTGACAGAAGCATCTCCGTGTTGTTTGTGCTCCATTCCCAGCTGTTGTTGATGAAATACTCCAGCATGGAAATGGTTTTCAGCAGCCGGTTCATGAGCTTCGTCATCCTGAGGGAAAGACCAGATAGGAGCTGGTGCAGCCCGCCCACTGCCTTTTCTGCCATTGTCATTGAGGATGTACAGTGACGCCAGTCCTCGGGAGGCCAAGGCAGGGAGACTGTTTCAAGATCAGCTTTGTCTGTATAGTTAAATCTAGGCCAGTAAAACTGTCTTAAAAAACCAAAACAAAAATTTGTCCCTCTTTCCTCCAATCTCTCGGATTTCGTGTGTGTGTTCTTGGGTCACCTCCCTTATGACTAGTTTACAGTAATGACAGTTTCTACAGCTTCACATTTAGCTTTTATAAGGTATCTTACATTTTCCTTCGTGTATGAGCAGTCCATTTATCTGTGATACTAGAAGGGTTTCTACATTTCTGTAAAAGTTAGTGTTCTCCTTCCCACCCAATTCCGTTAAACAGCAGAAAGAGGAGGACTCTACCAGTGTCTGTCAGGCAATCTACACCCTCTCAGAACACCCATCCTTTTCACCAGACATTGCTGTTGTTTTTAATGCTGAGGCAGATCTTGAGAAAGCCAATTTCTTTTTACTGTACGTTCTTAAATTTGTAACAACAAAAATAAGCTCTCGGGTCCCAGTATATAAACTTTTGGCAGTGTTGACTGTTATCACGTGGGGAACAAAAGCAGGTTATAATTCAGACTTGAGGAAGAAAGACGTAACATTCCTAATCTGACACAGTGCTGACCCTTCTAGAAAATACTAATTGCCTGCATTTTTCTGAATATGGTTCATCAGCTTAAGAGGGTCAGCATTCAAACGCCACCTATTCGGACCCACCCTAGAGCACTGCTCTCGAGTTCCATTTCCTCCAGTGCACTACACTAAGCTCCACAGTCAGAACACGAGCCGGCTCTTCCTGGAAGCCTCCTAGGACTGTGAAGTGGTTACAATTTATGTCATGCTAACTTCAGAGAAAGGTTATGTTCAAACACATAGGAAATGCTCCAGATAGGTCTCTGAGGCGAAAGTGTGGTTACGCTCTGCTAGTTACCGGAGTATAGTTCCGTTATACATTGCTCTGGGAATTTGGTCTTGTTCTTGGTTCCCAGCAACTGTTGACAGATACCTCATGTATCCTGGGAAATGTCCTGTTCAGGAAGTAGATGTAAATGCTCTGTGGACAGTAGTGGCCTAGTGAGTGTATCACTATCCAAGAAGTGTTTGAACTAAGTAATTTTTACAGCGTGTTTCTCTTAGGCTTAGGCCTTTTTACATAAAACACAAACCTGTAACAAAAATCTTAAAATGTAGTCAGACAGTGATTATCACATTCTGTGCACCTTTATGTCACACAGACTTGGCTACCGTCCCTTCTTACAGAAGAGTTGGGATCTAGGAAGAAAGTAGATTTATGACTCCTGGATAAATCAGTGAAGCCAGGGCCTTAAGACAGACTCCTAGCTCTGATGTCATCCTCCAGGGTCTGACTGATCCTATAAAGAGTCGTAAAGATTATTGCGGGGACAGGTGGCTCAGTGGGCAAAGGTGCTTGCCAAGGCCAGCAATCTGGGTTCAGTCCTCAGTACACGTGGTAGAGAGACCCAGCCTTCCTCGCCAAGGTGTCCTCTGACCTCCA